AGTGGGAGTAATTTCACCAGGAGTGGGGCGGGACAGGATTTAGATTTCTACTCTGGCCCGGGATTGGGACGGGACAGGAGTGAAAATCCAATCCCGTGTCAGTCTCTACTGACCAGATGGATCTCCTAATAACAACAGTCCTCCACTTCATGCCATGAAGGAGGCTGTAACTCATTCTTATCTCTCATGACCTTCGTTTGGAGCCTGTGAGGCTCAGAACAGACATTTTTTACTCCACAATTTCTACAAACATTTTTCTTTGATTTGTAGACTTTTCAGCTTAGATTTTTCACCTAGCTGTCATTTTTCTGTCCCCCTAACCATGGAACCATGCATGGTTGAACCTGGCTTCAGATCCCACAGGGAAGTAAAGGGCTATTTCCATTTTTTTCTTAAATCTTGGCAAATTCAACCGATTAAATTATGAAATTCATAGAAAATCTAGACAGGAATTAGTTTCATAGTTTATGATCATTTTAAGCTTTGTGTGTGAAAATGTTTTGTTCAGGCGTCTAAACTGAACCCAGTTCAAGAACCTGGAATATCAAAAGTAAAAAAGATTTAGAAGCTGAAAAAAAGCTGTGAAATGGCATTTTTTTCAATTAGGTTTAGGAACTAAAATTTTAGGAAATTACATTTTCTGAGGCTGTTTACTGAGAATGAAGGTCATCATGAAAATAGAAAAAAAGTGGTAAAACTCAGGTGTGTTTCAGAAATGCAGATCTTCCTTAAGAATAAAATGAATCAGAGAAAGCTTGGAAATGTAAACAGTTTTCTGATCTCAGTTATGATCTCTCATACCCATTGGCTGGATGGCAGGCGTCGCTGAGACGTTTTGGTTGTTTGGATCCGGAACTCCTCCTTGGCCGTCCAGCAGAGACTGGACCGCCAGCACTGTCTGGTTGTCCATGCCTGAAGACAAAAAGGACAAGGAAGTCAAAGCCCAAAAAAAGCCATTGTCTCCATAGGATGATGCACCTTCTGAAAAAGTGAAGGAGTAGTTTTTAGGTTTCTTTTAGGGAGAAGTGGAAAGGAAAGATTTAACCTTTTATAGGACAAGTTAAAATTTTGTATCACTTGCATACCCCTTACAAATTGAAAAAAAAAAAGTGTTTCTTTCACTCTGTGAGTCTTTTTCATGAATTTCTTATAGAAGCCCTTTTGTTATTATTCTTAATATATTCGAGAAGGTTGGCGTTTCTTGTTATTACATTGACAATAATTTTTGCCATCAAAAGATCCAGATTTTTTTAACCCCTAGAACCCTACGGACCCACCGGTGGGTCCAGCTGCTACGTGACCTCGTAATTTTAACAAACCCCCAGTATTGATGTAAAAAACATATTTGGCACAGTTTGGTGACATTTATGGATAAATGTGCCAAAATGGCCTCTCCGCCTAAGAAATTTCTCACTAATACCATTCTAAAATAAATATGATTCATCTGATTGAGTCCAAATTTGGTATATTTTTACACAACATTTAGATTTGAAAGTCTGTACTACTTTTTTGTGCTATAAATAATATTTTGCTAGTGTTTTGCAATGTTTATTTCAAAGAAAATTTTGGCGAGGTTCAAAAAATGCAAAATATTTTGTATTTTGTCCCTAATATTTCAGGCAGGGTCAAAGGTACAATGGTGCTGACACCAGAAAACCATTCTATGACATCTTACCTTTACAGACGTACCAAAAGTTTCTTCTTAAATCTAATAGCTCTGAGGCTATAAGTTATTTACTTTTGTGTGTTTTTGTCAGGCAGAAATTTATTTATACCCCCTTAGGGTGTAAGAGGTTAATGTTGCAAAGGTAATAAGGTCTTGTCCTGGATTCCAATAACACTGTTGGATTGAAATTTTGACTTTAAAAGTATCTCACTGAGTGCCCTATAAAGGGTTAATTACTCTTTAGATGTTTCCCCTTTTTGCAATAAGCAATCATATCTATACTCTAGAGAAAACATTTGCAAAAGATTCTTAATTAGATGCAACTTTGAACTTTGACTAGGCCGTTCTGATCCATGAAGCAGCTTAGATGAAGGCCATCCCACTCTGCTTATAAGCCTAGAAATGTTGTCCTACAGTAAAGTGAACCTCTTCTTTACTCTCCAGTATGTTTCCAGCCTCCAGCAGGCTAACTGAGACTATGTTATCTTGTCACAAGCAATAAGAAAAGTGATCACACCACAGGCGTAACTTTCTGAAGGACTGGTGTGGACATATCCCCACCAATAATTTCCGCTTTTTTCCCCTTTCCGCTTATTTACTTTAGCCAAAGGTAACAGAGGTTGGGTGCAGCTATCTGTGTTCAGAGGGTTTTCAGTCCATGGTTTTGTTTTCCCTCTCTCCCACTGCTCCCGTGTCCCACCTCTCGGTGTGACATCATCGGATCTATCGCTTTCAGATATTGGATTTGGGGTCGCATTTCACTGCGTACAGAGTAACTACGTGGAGGAGGAGAGACACAGCAGCACTCAGTGAATATTAACCAGCAGCTACTTTGATGTTTAAGTAAAAGTTAGGAGACGGGTTGGTTAAAAAAAAATTAAGAGATCATGTCACTGAAAAATCTTTTTGTTAGACATACAGAGCTTTTTTGAGCTAAAAATGGTTACAACTTGTAAGTTTATAGAAGTTAGTATTATAATGCAAGAAGCTTGAGAAAACATAGTTTGTTCTTCTTTACTAGTTCAAATAGCTGGGCTTCTCAGAGGACCATGACTCACAGTTACAGGTTCAAATTAACATGTTTTCTTATTGTGCAGATAGAATCAGACTGCAGAGCTTCTAGACATATTGAAATTTTGTTTCTTGCATCATTATATTAGTAAATCGGTTCATAAATATTTTAAACAGAGCAAAGAGAGAAGTAGGAAGAGCTGCAGATTTAAAGGGGAAACAAATTTACTTGGATATGCAATAAAATAGATCTCCATGTTCACCAGAAAGTTTACAAGAAAAAATATTTCTTGTTTGTTTTTTGGACATTGTTTTTAATTTGGATTTTTGGATTCCTGTTGCCTGTGGTTGTTGGACTTTGTTTCACTACCCTTCATTAAATCTACTAAAAATGGACCTCCGCCTGCCTCTGCTTTGGGTCAACAATCCTAACCAAATCCTGACACTAGGGATGCATGATTTATCGATTTTAGCATCGGAATCAGCTGTTGTTTGTTTTTTATACATTCATGTTTTTGGGTCCTATATATGTAATGCACTAAAAGGCATCTCTCTAACATTTATAAATATAAATATCAGTGTATTATGCTTCTCTTGTGTTCTCAACAATAGGAAAGCATTCAATAAATAGATGGTTGAGCTCATTTTTGCAGCAGGAGTAACTGTAGGTCCATCAGCCTCCACCCTTAGAGTGTCACCACCAACTTTCATCACAAACTTACATCCTTGGATCAAATTGATCCAAGAAGAAAATAAACCAAAAACAAACTGGGCCTAAAATCGCAGCTTGACAAACTTCTTAGATTTATAGCCTCATCCTGCTTCAGTTTAAAATCACTGCAGGAAAAACATAAATCGCTCAAAACCGCAAACTATAAACTGATTACCTGATAAAAAGTGACTTTGATAAAGACGGGAAATCATTTATTCTGCCTGATGTTTACATCTCACTTCCAGATATATTTTTCTCTACCTTTACAATGACGTATATTAAGCCACGATCCGGACATACTTTTATGACTTCCATAAAGATCCCAAAGCATATTTATCAAAATAAGCCCTAACGGCCCAGCTATGTTTGTAATTAAGCAATAATAAAGGGAATATTACTACCTTCCAGCACCTCAAATATTGCCTGCGCCATCTTGAAAAGCTCCGATAGGCAATAGGCGCTCGACTAGCAATGCCTGCCGCTTGATGGGAACTTCCCACGTTATGAAAAATCATTAGAGCATTTTAAACAAATGTTTCCACAAGTCCAAGTTTAATTATGGTATTATTCAAACGTTTAGTATTTGCCTAAAAGCGCGTGAGCTGAAAGATAAATATGCTTTAAGAATATTTCTAAACAAACTGATTTTAGTATGAATCGTTGCTACAAAACGGGGTTAATTTACAAATGATTGGACTTCCGCTTTTTTTTTTTTATGGAATTTCTGATTGCAGACAAACTACGCATATTGTAAATTAACTCTTTACAACTTCGTCTACTTGGCCAAAAAAAAAAAAAAAAATCAAATACTTGGTAATAAACAATCGAACAGTCGACGCTCGGGAACGTGACAGGCAGCGGAACCGACCAATCAGAGCCCAGCATCATCGCCTCATGGAGAACGTCACTTTTCGACCAATAGGAAGCGCTCTTTCTCTCCACGTGCAGGTTTCGCGGCAAAAAAGATTTCGCGCGAAAACAGCTTGTTTGGGTGTCGATCAGCTGGAACAATAACAACAAAAAACTGCCGATAAGTGGGCTGCGGGGACGCTTTCACAGACCGGCCGCGCCCCGTGGTGAGCGAGCCGTGGCCCGCAGACTGCTGCGTGGATGAACACGCGTGGATTCCGGCTGTTTTAATTCGCTTTATTTTGCATGTTTTGACGGAGCGCTTCCTGCGTGCCCCAACAAAACGAGGGTAAAGAGGACCTGCGGCTAAAGCTAACATGCTAACTTACCCTGTATATCTATTTGCCACCTAATTATTGTACTTTCTCTCTGACTGATGCTTAGTTTCAAACATTTACTGATGGAGATGATTTGGGCGCGCGGCGATGCTTCTGCTTTGTAGATATTTCATGTTGATAAGCTAACTTCTGTAGGCTGCTCCAAAGTTTTCCTAGCTTGATAATTTCGCTCTGTCTTCCAGGTAAAATAAGATAATGTCGCTTTAAGGTTGTAAAGTGCTAGCTTAGCTGCTAACTGGCTCATTTAGCTGAACTTGTGGGAGTGTTTGTGGTTTTGGGCTAGAAGTTAGCCTGTTAGCAGGGCAGGCCGCGGCCGGACTCTGCTGACAGGAGACACGAAAACAAAAGATTAGCTTGATCCTGAGCAAACTCGATCATCACCTGCCTTTCTTACCGCCTGCGTCGCTTTAAAAAAATATTTAATATTTAATAACATTTCTCCCTCTCAGCCTGTAGACGTGTGACGTATTATGCAATTAAGCAATTTCTTCCTGCTTCAGTTGGCAATTTCAGTTTGGTAGAACATCCTGTGTTTTTGTTTCATCTTTGATCTTCATTTTTATTTAGTTCTAGCTTTAAATTCAAGCCATAAACATTTAAACTGTAACCAGCTCTTGAGGAACTGGCCCTGAACCCCTCTGAACACATCCTGTAAAAATGTCCCTTTAGCAGCAGAACATTCTCAGGACTCTGCAGATGCCAGTAGGAGCTGATCCATTCTTCAACCACAGCTTTGCAGTGTGTCACAGCTCAGCACGTCCACAGTCTAGTGAAGGGGGACCATGTCAGAAACTCTGATAACGGGGCACACGTCGGAGGATTTGCTGGCAGATTTTGAGACATTGCTGAACTCTGGAGGTATTGATTTGGGTGAGGACCATCAGATAGTGATCATCACCAGCCCCAGCAATGAAGGACTCCACCCAGCCGCCGCCCCGAGCAGCACAGGGGAGATCCTGCTGTTTGCCACGCCGCAGGGCCCCGCTGACGTTGGGGTCCAGGACAAGAGACGGCCAATCCTGGGGAGACCTCCGGTAAGACGAGTGGGGGGCGGGGGAGAAGGAAGTGAAAGAGTTAGAAGGGAAGTGGTTGAATTAAGAGTTTCATGCTCTTCTGTGCAGCAGAGCTCCTCCTAACCTCACCATCTGTTGCTTGAAGGCATCTTATTTTGCATAGAGTCTGTTTTCCTTCGCTGTCTGCTTTACATAATCTAATACCATGTAATAACTCTATAACATTTTTTTTCTCATCCAACCGTCTCATCAGGTAAAGAGGAAGTTGGACCTGGATAGTGATCATCAGTATGTCAGCACTACACGACCAACCACAGGCCAAGTTACACCCTCCACACCTGCTCCTCCTAGAGGTATACACATACACACAAAAAAAAAAAAATCACAGAGGGGCATTCATCTTTGTTCCAACCCACATATACATCAGCCTTTTGTCATTGTTCTAACAGCAGCTGCTCCTTTATTTAACCTGATCAGCAGCCTGTCCTCCATTGTTTCTGCTGGGCTCAGTGGTTTGGGTTATAATAACAACCATTCTGTCTATTCTCACCCAGCACATCATCACTTTATCACCTCTAACTATTGGGTTAGAGTTTTATAACTTAGTCTAGCTCCATGTAGAAGGATTATGAACTGAAAAAAAGGAATTATGATCTAGCTTTTTAACTCTGATTAATTTAATTAAGCTGTTTCATGGACGCCTTAAAGACGGGTTAGTCCAGATGTTCCCTAAGTTTTCTATGAATGACTTTTAAAATGGTACCAGAATGGATCCGAGTCATTGGTCCAAATGGAAATATTTCCAAAACAACTTTAAAGGTTTTGTACAATAGTCACAAACACACCATCAACAGCCAGTGCATTGGGTTTTATTCTATCTGATGTTTTTATATATTTAAATTAAGGATAGTTTGGGTAGGTAAGCTTTTTTTTCTTTCTGCTGCATCCAGATCTTCTGTTTTGATTCTTTCCTTGTTAAGACCACTACATTTTCTTTTTATCCTTTCTCCAAGTGGGGAGGTGATGTTTATATCTCCTTGTAATTTGCAAACTGATAGATTGGGCCAATGAGACGTTGTGCTAAACCACCTGCAGCTGCAATTTGCAGTTTTATTAAGCATGAAAAGCAAAAAAAAAAAAAAAGAAATCTTTGTTGGCTTGACAGACCAGCCATTTAGGAAACTTTCTGAACCTGGTGACTCCACCCCTGCTTTCCAAGGCAGCTTTCTGTCTGTTTATGGGGTCCTTGTGCATGTGCTCACTTCCATCTAAGTGCTCTAGTGAGTCTGAGTGGAGGTCAGATCCGAAGGCAGCAGGGTTCACATTTTCACAGCGTTTTCTCATATATATATATATATAT